AGACGTAGGAGACTGGCTCTATTGGGGAGAAGAAGACGAACTCTGGCCTCCCGGCGTCACGGCCTCCTGCCCAACCAGTTGACTTACCCGCGTCTTTGGGACCGCGGCGGCCCTTGAGGCGTGCAGCTTCTTCACCCGCTCCTCGACGGAAGACATGTTCGCTGCAAAAACAAACAGAAAGTTAGCAACGGACAAAACATACAATCACAAGAAAGAAGAAACGTCCCTACCTAGATATTCCAAAGCGTCCGCCCCCGTGGCGCAACCGAGCAGGGTCTTCGTGTTAATCAGCCTTTTCTTCGTCCGCACATTCCCCTGCGCGTCGAGGATGTACCAACCGTCGGGCGTCACCAGTTTCGACGGGGGAAGATCCAGCACAAAGGCCACTATTTTCATATAGGCGGCCATATCCCTCTCGTCGAGAGTCCTAGCCCGCACGATGTATCGGTCAGTACCACGGTTGAAGTGCTCCGAGGTCCACAATAAATGTACCTTGGGGAGCCACGCAAGGAACCGCTGGCCGTCTACCATTCGCTCCCCCTCGGTAAAAAGAGTATCCAAGCCTTCCTGGGTGATCGGTTTAACGAGGAAGAGCCGACCCTTGAAATCTCGAACAGAATCGTTGTACGTCTTGAAGAGCTTGGTCGGCTGCTTAAACGAGACCCATCCCTGACGGTCGTTCACCGACTGGCGTTGCAGGTGGAAGATGCGAAAAATCAGGGGCACCGTGGCCTCCACCTCGAGGTAATAGCACACCACCTCGAACGCGCGGATAAAGGCCAGAGCGTTAGGATACAGCTGGGACGGGGCCAAACGTAACCAGTCGAAAAGGCCCAAGTGGAAAGCGGAGAACGACAATCTGAGTCGGGCCTCTTTGAAGTAGAACTCGTGCATGGGAAACATCTGTTGCCCATATCTCGAGCAGATGCGATGATGCTCCTTCGGGCGATACACCTGCCAGTGTTGCGGCTCCCCTTCAGGCGTGTCCTCCACGGTAGCGTAGACATCGCATGCGTCGAGCACGAAGCAAGAGGGGGTGGACAACGGCTCTTCGGCCACCCACTCTTCGACAGGGAGGACCCGCTCGTCGAAATCCGAGACCTCGGGTTCGTTATCTTCGACCATCGTCCCCGATATCAAAGCCGACATGTACACCTGAAAAGCAGAGGACAATGGTGAATTCGATAGCCAAGATCAAATCCACCCTTCCACCGCAGGTCAAGTGAAAGGGCGACAACGACGAGCGCACGGGCGCTCCCCGAGGGACGCTCCCCGCCGCTCCTCCACGGGGCATTCAAAGGCAAACCTATCACCCCTCCCCGGTGTACTCATCGGAAAAGGCACGCGTCCCCGGGGCATTCATCGGAGAAAGCCCCCGTCCTCGGGGCATTCATCGGAACAACCAAACCTCCCCGGGGCATTCATCCAAACTAACCCAGAAAACCACCAGACACGGCGGAACGCGCGTCTCTCCTCGGGGCGTTCATCACGCCCCGACCACAGACCCTAATTAAACGGCAGAAATAAAAGGAGAAAAGAGGGAATCTCACTTGTGACGGCGGCGAACGGGAGGAAGAACTAACGGCGCGGCGGCGATTCACAACAAAGACGGACGAGGAGGAATCTCAGAGTTTCGCAGGTAAGACAGCAAGGTTGAAAGTAAAAAAAATGAGCGGGGACCCCCTCATTTATAACCCGGCGCGGAACTCGAAGCGACACTAGGTTTTTGAGTGTCCTAGGGTAGCCGCCCTACTACCCACTCAACGTGCGACACGTGGCGGTAACCTGACGGCCGCGTCCCTTCATATACCTTTGCCCCGCTCTCCCGACGACAAGAAGACCCTCGCGCATGCACGCGTTCCACCGGACATAAAACCGACGAGCCACCCTCCTCGCTACCTCTTTTCCCGAAGCAACGACCTTAAGTCCTCGCTCTTTCGCCACAGAGCTTCGACTTGGGGGGCTCCTGTTCTGGTCTGGGCCCAACCTCGCGGTCCAGCCCAATAATGCACAAGGCCCATTAAGTGGAATAGCCTGACCGGGCACACACCCCCCTAGGACGGGCAGGATACGCTCCCCACTGAGCGGGACGACACGTCTTGAAGCGTCCTCGTCGCCCCCTTTAGCCGAACAGAACGCCCTCCGCGGGCGACATTCCCCGTGCCATCGGGCAAGACCCATGGCTCTTCCGCGTCCTCGCGTGCTCCCCTCCGCGGGGAGAACAACGCACCTCCGGGGAACCTCCCGAGCTCCCTCCGCGAGGAGAACAACGTGCCAGCCGTATGTTCTCCACGTGCTCCCCTCCGCGGGGACACGTCATCTCCCAACTGCCCTCCTCCGAAAGAGCAGGTCAAATCCACTTTCCGGGGATCACGAGACAGTTGGACTAGGGCGAAGACCATGTTTTGGTCTTCACTACGCCACGTAAGCCCTAGCAGTCATTAGGGTTGGGCCTGGTCATCCGGCCCACCTCAAATGACCATTGGCCCAGCGCTGGGGTCTCTCTATAAATACCCTCTTCCTCAAGAGGGTCAGGTAATTCACTTCTTACCCATTCTGTACTTTGCTCTCATTCTGCCCCACTCCTTACTTTGGCATCGGAGTGTCTTGCAGGTACACCCCATTCCTCCTCCTCATCATAGGTGAATAGGTAGCAGCCCAACATTGTGTGGCCAGCCCGTGATCCCCTCCTGATCAGGTCAGATCAGTTGTTATCCCCTGCAGAGTACTGAAAAGTAGAAAAATCTCAAGGTTGTCTCTCCAAACCAACAAGCACAAGGTTGCTTCTCCTAAGACTTTAACAAACCGAAAAGGCAAAAAGTCCAAAAAGATATCTTCGATTAGCACCAATTAACCGACCACTTTTCCATATTATGGAAGAATTAAACAACCAATATGTGACATTAATTCATTGAAAATATATGAAACAAACTGATTTTTCTACAAACTAAATTTCAAATTTCAAAATTCTTACAAAAAGCTATGATTAAAAACAGTAAAATAATGTACTGTTAAAGATACCTTAAAGAAAACACCCGAACAAAAATGGCGGAGAAGAACCACGCGAACGACGACGGAGGAAGAAGAATGGCGGATGGCGACGGTAGTACCACGCAAGCGGCGACGAAGGAAGAAGAAAAAGAATGGCGGACAGTGGCGCGGAGGAAAAAGAAGAAGAAGAACAGCGAAGAATGGTGACGCGGACGGATGGTGACAGTGGCGACGGAAAAATAAGAAGAAGAATGGCAGACGGTGGCGGCAGAGGAAGAAGAAGAAGAAAAACGGCGACGGTGGAAGCGAAGAAGAAGAAAAATGGGGACGACGACGGCGGAGAAGAAGATTGATAAGAGATTTTTGGGGATTTGGAGAATGTCATGTTTTCAGTTAGGGTTTTGGAATTTTAAGAAACATTTTACATTGGTTGGGCAACATGGCCCGATGTAAAAAGTTTAATCAATTTTATTTAATTTTTTATTGAGAAACTTATTACATCGGGCAACATGGCCCGCTGTAAAAAGTTTAATCAATTTTATTTAATTTTTTATTGAGAAATTTATTACATCGGTTGGGCAAAATGACCCGATGTAAAATGTTTAATTAATCTATTTTATTTATTTATTTATTAAGGTACTTTTTACACCGGTTGGGGTAAATGGACCGGTGTAAAATCCTTTATAATAAATTTTTTAATTATTTATGAAACTGTCACCGCGTTATTTTTTACATCGGTTGGGCTAAATGACCCGATATAAAATGTTTAATCCATTTTATTTATTTTTATTGAAATATTTTTACATCGGTTGGGATAAATGGCCCGATATAAAATCTTTTATAACAAAATTTCTTATTATTTACGACACTGGCATTGCGTTATTTTTCACATCAGAAGAAATATATGTTTGATATAAAATTCTTAAATCAAATATTTTTCACATCATATTAATAAATCTGATCTTAAAATTTGATGTAAAATCATTGAAGCAAATGTCTTATATTTGGTAGTGTTATATAACACCATTCAAGATCATTGATGAAGAAATGTGATAGGGAAGAGAATCAATACAAGAAAACGTTTTCTTTGATTAGAACCTAAATCACATGTGGTAATAACTATAACAAAACTTATCTTAGCCATTCACTGCAAATCCAATTAAACAAATCCCATAAAATAAGTTACTTTTTAGTCGTAAAATATTTCAAAACAGTTGTTTCCTCAACCACTAGTTCGCAAACATCTGATTCTTCAAGCAGTGGATTGGAAATATCTGATTCCATCGTAACTAAAATGCTATCATGAAGAAGAAAAAAAAATTTACCGGAAAAACACTTACCCGGTGAATCCTTGCGACACATAAAAAACAAGCAACCGAGAAGGAATTTATAGTCAATAGTCATGTAACATAACTGATGTTACCCAAGTATTCCTCACTTGGTCTAACATTGTATGACTTGATCTAACATGTTGAAGAGATTTACTTGCTTAAAAAATATAAAATAAAATAAAATAGCGTTAATTATGAAAAGAAAAGAAAAAAACTATAGGAACCAGAACCAGTACATTTTACGGTACCCTACAACAAAATGTAGGAACTGTTTTAGAAATAATACCCTTAAATGTGATACGAATATCATCCCTAATAATTTTTCGAAAGATGAAAAAATTTCAAAAACCGACTATTCTTCAAGGAGAATTTCTCTAAAGTCTGATTTGTCACTTAAGAGAATTTTTCTAAGACAACCTTTTTTCGAAGAAAAATATTTTTGAATGCAACAAAAAAACACCATGGAAAAATGCAATTTTTGGAAATGTTCTCAAATAGCAACTTTTATCTTCTCTGAGGTATTTCAGCTAATGTTCATCATCCAAATAATTAGAAAATTTGTCTATGCTGATATATGTTCCTATATAGAATGAGCTCAGTAGTGCTTTCATGCAGAATGACGATAAAAATCGACGTTGCAATTTGATACATTACATAAAATATCCATGTATCTAAGCTTCAATCTCTTGATGAGCAACCAAGTATGAATTTGTGACCGTTCATTTTTCCATTAAGTGCAAGAGCAAGCACATCATATTCCTCGACGTACCACAGTTCGGACACCACTGCCTGGATGCATATGTTTGGAGGAAACTCAGCAAGCAAAATATAGGTTAGGCTCTTCCTATCTTATAATACTCAAATTTCTTATGTCTTAATTGCAATTTTGATTCTGCAATCTATAAAAACAAGCAAATAACAACAAACCTTGAATCCGCGGATCTGTCTATTAAGTTGATTCACTAACTCATGAAAAAATTTGAGTTCACCTGACGTTGTAAGATGTTCCTGCATATCACAGGTAATGGACAATCGTGCCGATGTTCATGATAGGACCAAATGCCATTCTAAAATGAGCGATGATGCTAACTCTAATCAAGTCCAAGAAATGTGTGGAAAAAATATATAATTCCAAGAAATAATGTAGATGGATAGTAGTACCGTAGACGATGCTCTTGGTGGACCCAAAAGCCGTGCGAATGTAGTGTGAAGAATTGCAGCATCATACTGCAGATGAAATAATGGAAGATCAAAAAGCATCACCATGCAATGTAATTCTAGATGCATATCAAATGATTAATTCACTTTAGAAAAACATAGGACATATCAAATTAACAAGATTTCCCAATGTTCTAATTGATTTCTCAAATGAAACTCACAAGTTGCTTTTCAGGTGCACGTGGAAGTACATTCTTCAATCTAGCACGAATGGTTATGGGATCTGTACCCGAGATTACCTACAAAGTTAACGTAAAGTCATTAGCCTAGGCTCGTCAGTGCTGTCAAAAATTCTAAATCATAGGCAACATAGAAAGCAAAGGCAAAGAGGAAACCAAGTTAGGGTTTATCATCAAAGACGTGTGCAACTAAGTCTATAATACATGTGTGAAGGATAACGAGAAGAAACATTTAGAGTAAAAACAACCTGCCAGCAACCAAGGAGCACTCCTGTTGAAGTTAAAACCACTCGATCCAAAACAATATTCAAAGGGCAGAGCCCTGCCGCAACAGTTTCCACTAAAGATGCTTCAGATTCTATCTGAGAAACAATGAATCTCATGAACTTCATGAGCAAACTTCCAACATGAATTGAAGAAATCGATGCTTGAAGTATACCTCTTCTTTCGTGGCAGGTACAGGTACAATATGGTGAGAGGCATGGAACATGCTAAAATGGTACATGCTAGAGTTCTGAAACCAGATTGCTAATTTACACACATGTAAGCATGTGAACAAAATAAAATAAAATAAAAAAGATAAAGAAAAGGTAGATCCAACAATGACTTACCTTTATCGAAGTATGGATTGAAAATATTTTTGACAGCCTCCCTGGATCATGCAAACCACGCATGTCATACGTGAATATCAAATCAACTGATGTAAAGCAATAACATATCATATTATAGATGATAAATGCAACAATAAAGCAATGTGACAACTAGCCGCGAGTAATGTTTTCAATCGGCTATAACGTGATAGATCCAACTGGTATATTATTATTATTATTATTATTGAAAATGGGGGAAGAATCCCCTTTGATTATTACAATAGCAGTATTTCGAGAGTCTGCCTACCTCCCAATACCAAAAGGCTCTATTCCCTCTCAAATTACAAGATCATTCCCTCTCTAATCCTCCTCTCCATTTATAGGCAGCATGCCTTATTTGTCCTAACTATCTCCCGACAGACTCATTAACTGCCCATTAACTAACTAACTAACTAACTAACTAACTAACTAACTAACTAACTAACAAACAAGAAACAACTTCTTAACTAACGATAACAAAAGTATCACAGAGGCATACAGGGTAGCAAAATTTAAACAAATCGTTATTGTTATGCGATACACCATTTAGTTCAAAGTATTGTCAAATAACGGCTATAGCGGTGATATAGCACTGTAGCATAGCGAAATTTGAACAAACTGTTACATTGCAATAAAGAAGGATATGTGAAGGTAGATAGATATATAATAAGTCGTTATATTTTACAAAAGTGGTATGATATGCCCTATTATATATTTTTGGTTCTAAATGATATGTCCTATTTATCCCCTAGAAAGTTTTTGTCTAAATCAATTTAAAGAGCTATCTTGTTAAGTCGAATAATTTACTCCCGTCCAGTTTCAAAATGATACGTTATTATCCCTTCAAATCTTGGAAAAAATAGAAAGTGAGTCATTTCTCCCCTAAAATAGCCTTGCTCATCAAGATGCATACTATACTAGTAGAACAAATAGTTTGTTTTCTTAAGAATTTGAAGATACACGAGGCTATTAACATATGCTGTATCATTTAGCCTGCATTCACCTAGAAAATTTTTTCAATAATTTTGTATAAATCTATTTCAGATACCCATTTTCTTTATGGTTACTTGAAGCATTGCGTAAACACCCTCTAAAAGTAGGAATGGCAGGATAACTTTTTGTGCTCTGTAACATTCTCTAGTTAAGACACTGTAACTTACACATTTCCCAGAAACACTAAATCTTATTCTTATCATGAGAAATAGTGCTATAATATGAATCATGTGAGTGGTTTGTCTGAGATATTCAAGTTTTCGATATATCACAACAAAAGAGTTTATCGGATACAATTAGATGATTGTTGAGATCCCACATATGGTCAGAATATGTGTTTATAAGTGAGAGGCATCTCTCGCCTTACAAACCTCTTTTGTGGGGTAGAATTAAACTCAGTCCAAATTTTAATATTGTACCAAAGTCTATCCAAGATCCGTTCGCAACCTGCTATGAGGCCCCTCGGGTCACACTCAAGATATTGAGATCCCACATTTGATGAGATATGACCCAAGCATGTGTTTATAAGTGACAAACATCCTTACCTTACAAACTAGTTACGTAGGGTTCAGTTATTCTCAACCCAAATTTAATAATGACGCAACTTATTTCTAATACAGGAAAAAGCAATATTTTATGAGTATACAAATATGATCATCCAATTCAAAACCATAACCAGATTTGGAAAACATAGTTCTTTAGTTAAGCATAGAGAGACACACATCAAATGATCATTAATAAAAAGTGATTAGAAAATTAATAGTAATACTTACGCAACGGGGACCGAGAATTCAGTGCTCAAATACAACACATTAGCTCGAACCGGAGGATTCGCAGGCTGCATATAGAAAACTATCACCAGCTGCTACAAAAAAACAACCCCATGGAACAAAAATACTTAAATTGTCATTTATTACCTTTAATACAGGTGTTACAGATCCACCATTCAAAGTGAAGAGATCTGAAATAGAAAGTGACTGAGAGGTTTCACCATGTTTCAGAAAAGCAGCTCCATGTTCATCAAGATCCCTTGCCATCTTATCATACAATTTTGATCTTCTCTCCGAACTTAAATTTGAAGAATCTGAGATAAACCCTTTTGCATCTTAGTACCAAATTCGCTTATATCTTCACCCAAAATCAAATTTTGAATAAAACCCACATCCAAGGAAACATTTTTACTTATAAATATCTCATAAGGTAACAAAAAATAAAAATAAAAATCATTTGTTACTAAATCTAAGAAACAAAACCTAAACCTAGAAACTAAAATCAATTCTAACAAAATAGATTGGTAAAATGGAGAGAATAAAGAGCAATTAACCCGAAGAAGGTGATGAAAGGGTGTTTGAGGAGTTATGAAGGGCCATTTGGAACAAAATGAAGAAGCATAAGGCAGAGATAAACCAGATGAATGCTACTTTTTTGTAATGAATCCACCAACTAGATGTTGCACTTCTACCCGTCATAATAATGCAATAATGAACCAGTGAGTTAGATTCCAAATCTATCTACTCTCATCAAACCCATTCCTATGATCTTACTGCAGAATTGTTAGAATTTTTTAGTTGAACAGAAAGTATTTCTGATTACACCTCAACTTTTCATTCATGATCTTTCTCTTCCTTTTGTCTTCTTTTCTTGCTAATGTAAAAAACAATTCAACAAAGAAAAAATTTACCTTACATTACACGTCTACTATTTTACCTTATTTTACACGAGTTACTAATTTTGTAATTATCAAAACTTCAACTTTTTTATTTCTAATCTTATAATGTGGACGAGTGAGCGACAAAAGAAAAACACGTCGAAATACATATTGGGTAAAAAAAAACAGCATTTTGAAATGTATTTTCATTGAATAGCTACTTCCATCTAATGAGTTTGTTATCTTTAAGGATAATTTCTTTTAAACCTTTTTGTGTTGAAAAGCTGTTTTTTCTACCATGGTGTAAGAGGTTATCCTGGTTATGGTAACATGTTACATGGTGGTTTTTTTTAGTAATAGTGACATTTTTAAATGGGTGTAACTGATTATTCAGAATATGGTAATCGGTTACCATTGTAGATTTTTTAATTTTCAGCTTATTTTTAAGTTGTTTTATTTTTTCCATTATTTTAGATATGTTGTATAAAAAGCCTTTATTATTCTCAATTATTGTTAATGTTAACTCTCTCTCTCTCTCTCTCTCTCTCTCTCTCTATATATATATATATATATATATATATATATATATATATATATATATATATATATATATATATATATATATATATATATATATATATATATATATATATATATATATATATATATATATATATATATATATATATATATATATATATATATATATATATATATATATATATATATATATATATATATATATATATATATATATATATATATATATATATTAATTCACCTTAATTGATTTTGTGTGTTTTAACATTTGGCATCAAGAATACTCGTTCTGATCCAATTCCGCTACAATGAGTATCGTTTCCAACGATAGAATCTCTACCAACCTTTTGATTCTTGATTTGAAGAATTATGGCAAGTGGTCAAAGCAAATGAAAGTTCTGTTTGGGTATCAAGAAGTTCTTGAGATCATCAACAATGGAGTTGCACCATTTGGGGCTGAAGCTACAGATGCTCAAAAGGCTGCATTCAAGGAAGAAAAGAAGAAAGATTACAAGACACTCTTCTTGATTCATTCTTGTGTTGATAGTGACAACTTCGAAAAGGTTGGCGATTGCGAGTCGCCAAAGCAAGCTTGGGAAATATTGGAGAAAGCTTATTTCGGGGCTGTTAAGGCGAAGGTGGTGAGGTTACAAATCACAAGAGGCAATTTTAGTTAACGCAAATGAAAGAAAAGGAAACGATCAACGATTATGTGACGTGTATTAGGCGTTGTGAATCAAATCAAGTCTTGTGGAGAAACGACTTTGGAGCAAAATATTGTGTCGAAAATTTTGCATTCTTTAACGTCAAGATTCGACAACATTGTAGTGGCTATCGAAGAATCGAAGGACCTTGCGACGTTGAGTAAAGATGAACTTCAAAGCTCTCTTGAGGCTCATGAGCAAAGAATGTATGAGAGAGGAAGAAATAAAGTTAAAGCGGAGATTACTTTACAAGCGCGGCTCAACGAGGAGAGTAAAAGATCGAAAGAAAAATGGGTTTCGAAAGGGAAGGAAAATTTTCAGAATTTGTGTGGAAATGATCCATAAAATTCAAAGGTTTCGATGGGGAAAAAGGGTGAGAACAACTCCAATAGATATGGTGATCGAGACAACGTTAGAGGCGAAAAACCAAGAGACAAAAGCAAAATTCAATGCTGGAAGTGTCAAAGGCTTGGACATTTTTCAAATGAATGTGGTGCAAAATAGAGGGATTCCTAAGGAGATGAAGTTAAGGTTACGAGACAAGAGGTAGATGATGAAAATACGCTCTTGGTGATGATCTAGAAAAAGTTTTATGGAAGTAATGAGGTGCTAAGCAAAAGCAGTAGCAACTGCAAGTTGCGGGACAACAGCAACGGTAGTTTGGAAAACGGGACAAAAACGCGTTCAGAATAAAACGTAATGATTACGGTGCGAGATGGAGTCCAAGGCAGCGATGAATGATACTTGGATTCCGGTTGTTCAACACATATGATTGGTAGAAACGATTGGTTTGTGAAAGTCAATCAAGTTGCGAAAAGTAGAGTAAAATTTGCGGATGATACCACTCTTGCGGCCGAAGGTGTCAGTGATGTTTTGATCAAAAAGAAGAATGGTGGGCATTTATGATCAAGGATGTCTTGTATATACCGGGAATTAAATGTAATCTCTTGAGTATTGGCCAATTGTTTGAGAGTGATTACAAAATTCGCTTGGAAAACAAGATTTTGCGTGTTGTGGATGCTAACAGAGTATTGATCTTTAAGGCTTCTATGGCTGCCAATAGGACTTTCAAGGTGGAGTTGAAAGTGATGGAACGTAGATTCTTAGCTACAGTGGCAAGTAGAGAAGATCGGTTATGGCATTACCATCTTGGGCATCTCAATTTTCGTGATCTCAAAGCGTTGCAACAAAATGATATGGTTACCGGGCTGCCACACATCAATATTCCAACTGAGTTGTGTGAAGAATGTCTGAAGGGAAAGCAACACAAGGAGATTTTTAGCAAGGATGTAGGTTATAGTACCAAGACTCACCTTGAGGTGGTGTATTCCGATGTTTGCAGGCAGATGCAAGTTGACACGTTTGGTGGTGAAGGTAGCGGGATTATACCTGAGTGAGTCGCACACTCAAAGATACAACAGATTCGCCACCAAACTTTATTTAGTCCCAAAGGACAAGGAAAATGTCGATTAAATCCAAAGAGAAGAGAAACGGGTAAGGGGGTCGGTTATGCGAGAGGAAGGAATTAGCACCTCACGCATTCGTCGTACTCGACGGGAACCGTTTTGCTTGCTTTTAGGCTTGGATGGGTTATTTATCTAAAGGCTTCTAACTAAAGAGGAAAGTGAAAGGGAAAAGGAGAGAAAGAGAAAGAGAGAAGGAGGGAGAAAGAAAGAAGAAAGTGTTCACGGAGGATTGGGGCCCTCGTGCCTATGTATCGTCATAGTACAATGAGGAATTCAGAGCTCCATAGTTCAGGTAGCCAAGGAAGGAAAGGAGAGATGTGAAAGAAGAATGGAAGAAGGTAGAAGGTAGCTCGCCAAGATCTCGCGATCTTGTACCTACGTATCCTCATAGTGCAATGAGGAAGTCAGAGCTCCGTAGTTCGAGGAACTAGAACGGAGAAAAGAAAAATGGTGTCAAAACTAAGAGCGAAAGGAGGTAGAAATACTCTATTGGGGAACACAAAATAATAGTATCAAAACCAGGAAAGAAAGGCAAAGGAATGGTGTCGAAACTAAGAGAATAAATGAGCAAAGGAATAGAATTGAGATAGAGTAAGAGACACTGAGATTCGGTATATTAACTGACAGGCAGTGATTAACTGAAGGAATAAAAGAGTATGACTCTGTGGGGAAAAACGTTGGTGTCAACAGACGGACTGTGATAAATTGAAAGGAGAGTATTTAACTAAGAGAAGGTGTTTGACTATCTGGGGACTCGGTGTGTTAACTGATAAACGGTGGTCAACCGAAAGGAAGGAGAAATTGGTCTTTAACCGACGAACAGTGATTAACCAAAGGACGGATGTGGAACCAAGCGAAGGTTATAACCCAAAGGATGGGTGTGGAACCAAACAGAGGTTGTGACCCAAATGAGTTTGTTACATTGACTGAACAAGCAACACTTGACCAAAGAAAAGTGTATTTGAGCCAAAAGAAGGTTACTAACTCAAAGGTGCGAGTGTTTGAACCAAAAGAAGGTTACTAACTCATAGGGGTATTAGTTTTAACAGAAGGACTATGATTAACCAAAAAGAATGAGTGATTAACCAAGAGACGATGATTAACTGAAAAGAAGCTCGGTATGTTAACAGACAGAATGTGGTTAACTGAGGAATGGGTGATTAACTAAGAGAAGGTGATTAACCTAAGAAAGGTTGGTCTTAATAGGAGGGTTGTGATTAACCAAAGAACTGGTGATTAACCAAGAGAAGGTAATTAACCCAAGAGGAACTCAGTATGTTAACAGACAGACTGTGGTTAATTGAGAAAAATGAGTAATTGGTGTTTTAACGGTCAGGTAGTGGTTAACCAAAGAATGGGTGACTTCACTAAGGAAGAAAATAATTGGTACTTAACAGACTGACTATGATTAACCAAAAAACGAGTGATTAACCCAAGAGATACAATGATATAGAACCAAGGAAATGGTGATTGATCAAAGGAAATATTGAAAAAGTATAAATGATCAAGGATCAAACTCAAGAGATACCACAATCTGGATATAGAGGTGACTATTCTATGTTTAAGGTCAAGCGCCCCCGACCAGAAATAATCAGAATGAGGGTAAGATATGCTCCATCCTCACTCCTTCTCTAGAAGCCAAAGTGTAATGTGGAAATTGGAACTGACAGAGAAACTACGCAATTTATATAGTGCTCCAATACGTTGTGTAGACCTCTGACTCCGTAGGGGATCAAGAAGGATAAACTCTAAAGGAAGCCTAAAGAGAAGAGAAAAAGGAGGATTAACCTATCGAAACAAGGTTTCAATTAATCAATCAAAGGGAAAGGATATGCCAACAATTTTCCAAATGAGCCAAAAAACCGTTAAAGCAAAAGGTGTGAATTAATGATTATACAAAATTAAATTTGTTCAATAAAGAACAAACTTAATACAAACAAGAATGAAATTGCCAAGCATTAACAAGAAACAATTAGCATACATCATTAATCATGTTAATATAAAGACAAGAAAAAGTGAACAAAAGTGCTTTAAATACATGATTAAATTGCAAAATAATCGAAGAAAATTAAGCAATTAATCGAGCAAAAACCATATCATGTAGATTCTTC